GACTAATATTCCATGCAGTCATGTTCCCGCCTGTCACTTTCTGATGTGGTTTTTCTGCAGCTGCAGGAAGGAGTTCATTTAACCCCAGCCAGGCACCTGACAACGTGAAGGGAAAGGCTGCTTGTGCTCAGAGCGCTGTTCTAGCAAGTGAACTTTCTGGAATAAGGATTGCACCCCAATTGCTGTGGTTTTTTGAGTGGCGGCCATAGGGGATGGGAGCTAACAGCAGATCATTAGGGCAGAGGGATACAGGACAAGTGGACGTCTAGCTGAGCTCTTGCAGGCTGTTGCTCAGTGTGGGGGAAGCAAAAGGTCTTCTTGCCTTACTGGCATTTTAAGGAGGGAGTGGAGAAGCTGGGAATGACAGAGCATCCTCTTATGAGAGGTATTTGTTTTGTTACGAATGTCAGCAGTGCCTCTCTAGAAATTTGATTCCAAGTTTAATGAACTTCTGATTGCATTTGCATGTTCTGCAACCAGGGAAAATGTAATTTTCAGTCTCAGTCATTGAACTAAGAAGATGTGACCTCTGTTTCTGAGAGCTCAGGACACTTACATGCCCATGACAGAGGTGCTATAAAACCATGCCAGGTAAGAGGTATATATAGGGCACTGGTTTGTTTTCAGTGTGGTCTCTTGAAAAGAATTGGGCAGTGTCCAGTGCTGACCTCAGTCTTTTTATAGGCTTAATTAATGTCTTTATTCTGCTTGGCAGTGTGGGCCAAGAAGAATTCTAAAATGAATGCAAGAATTTGTGCTGTGCAAGATGTCTGAAAGTCCCCTCAATTGTTTTTGTGTTTCGTCAGTGTGGTGTTACAAATGGGCCTGTGTAACGCAGAGGAGAGTCTGCGAGCCCTTAGTGGTTGACCATGTGAATGGTGTAGCAGAAGTGGCTGTGCTGGGGCCCTTTTAAGTGGGGGAATATCTATCTTGCACTGTTGTTGGAAGTAATTATGAATCTGTTTTCATTTGAGGAAGGAAAAGCCCAGTAGATGTCATTTCATGTTTAAAATGTGAAGCTGAGGCATAAATTAGTGTCCTGCTGCTACTGATCCACGGAGGAGTCATGAGCTTTGAAATAGAAACAGACCCAAATTCTGAATGTCACTGGCTGTACAAAAAAGTACGTCATGCTGGAAGGTGAGTTTTAGGCTTGTCTGTTTTTATGCTACTATACTCCTAGAAGAAAAACTGAAAAAACTCTTCCATCCTTTTCATGTAGGAAGGGGAAAAAAATCCTGTCTCCTACTCTGGGCGTGTCCAGCCTCAGGTTTGCTGCTTTAATAGGAGGAATTATTTTTGGAAAGAAATAAAATGTGGGTTGGGAGCTCTCACCCCTTCACTGAGAACATGTCTTTTTTTCCTCAAGGCCAGGCTGGGCAGAACCTCTCGCTTTGATGAGAAATAGGACCAGGACCTCGCGTGCTGGGCTCTGCCCTCTGCTTTTGTTCTGTTGCTTCATAACAGGCATCAGGTCCAGTCTTTTGACTCTCTAAACTCTTCTGTACCTGTAATTTGGGGATGATGATACCTTACTCAGTGGTGATGTTTGAAGGAGAAATTGGTGATGGTGAAGCTTTTGAGGGGCTGGTGGCAGTGCAGCTCCACATCTGTCATGGCTTACAGGTACAGGGTGGTGACCTGCTGACAGGGGAGTTCCCCGCAACTGCGGTGGCCCGGTGTAGTAGGAAGCTCAAAGCAAGCAGAACAGAAACAATGGCTCAAATAAACACTTGCAGATGGTTGTAGGGCAAGGGAAGAGCTGCTGGCTGTGAGGTGTCTTGCTGGGCTTCCCAGAGAGCTTCTCAGCCATGGATGGGTGAGAAGGCTAGGACCTGAGTGTTTTTCAGAAGAGGCTGTGGCAGGGCCTCATGTGTGGGAGGTGGGAATTGATGGGAGCTGCTCAGAGAAGGCAAATTCACTCATCTGACCCTCGAGGGTGTCTTGAAAAGCATGGGCTGCCTTGGCTGTAGGCAAGGGAGCAGACTTGCCTAAGCTCCTTTTCTCCAGATGCTTTTTATTGCTACTGTATGGAATTAAATAGTTGGGAATTAAGCGGATTCTTATGCGCATTCCCTGTTAATTGCAGATTCCCAAAGGACAGTTTTAGTCTCTGTGGTGGGTAAATAGGGCTAATCCTCTGAGTCCTGCAACTGAAGGCCCAGTCTGAGCACTAGAGGAATGGGACTGAGTGCCAGGAAAGGTAAAAGCACAAGGTCTGGCACTGGAGGAGCTCGCTTGGAGGGGGAGGAGGCAGGAAGGATGTAAGTGTGTATTTAGGCCTGCTTCAAGGAAAGCTGCAAAGAGGCATTGGCATTTATATACAAGAGTTAACACGTAGGGGGGGTTTGGGGTTTTTTTTCCTAGTTAAAAAGACCAGGTTCAGTCTGAGTAAAAATTGGCCTTTCCTCACAATTACTCAACTTAAGTCCCCCTTGTCGTGTCGCTGGCTGTGCAGCTGCCGTGGCTTCCTGCAGCAGACAAACT